CGGGGCCCGCGGGGAGGAGCGCTGCTGGCCGGGTGACTCCCGTGGCCGTCACACGCCCGACTTGGCGTCGTCGTGGACGGGATACAGCCGGGGGTCGGCGGGAGGACGCGCGCGGCGCGGCGACTCATCGTGCTCGCCACCAGGTGGGAGGTCCCCCCTCCCCCATCCCTCGGCCGCCGCCGCCGCAGCAGCAGCCTGCCGTGCTGCTGGTTGTGCCCCCCATGCCCTGCTCAAATCTTTATATCGTTCACCAAACAGTACATATACATTTCAACAGCCGCGAGCTGAGATGATCGTTCTGCTCGTGCGCGTTGTGTGTATGCACTTGCGGCACGCCACGCGTTTAATTGCTCGTGGTCCCGACTTGATCACGACGTAACGCACCGCGCACTACAACAACATGCGCGGCGGCCCAGTCGGTGCGTGACGGCGCGTGCGTGCGCGCGAGTGTGTCAATAGGGCGTGATGATTCAATCGCCACCACACACACACGCGCCCCGCGCGCGGGTCCTCGTCATGTTGGCCGCCGCGCCGACTCTCTATGGCTGCTTACGCGACGGCGGTGGAACTGATCTCGTTATTCCCCGCGACGGGCCGACTGCGGACTGCACAACAACCGGGCAGCAGCGCCAAACTATCGGTGACGGACGTTCACTGTGCCCGCCCTAGCCCAAAATATCCGTCACCTGTAGCCAGCTGACGAAGCAGTGGCCGGCCAATGGTTCATTTTCAAATGATTTGTTTCTTCGACCCTCTACCAAGGGGGTGGTCACCTCCCACAACCACAGCTACTTCGGCTGCACCCACCACTGCCCAAGCTCCACGGCACCAAGTCCATCCCCTCGTTGAGCCCGTGCCCGTGAGTCGAAGTGAACGCGGACTGGAGCTCGCCGCTGTGCTGCTGTTGCTGCCTGATAAATCTGGCCGCTGCCTCGGCCGCTAGAGCGCGCTGCCGGCGGCGAACAGTAAAATCCTCATTACTTACATCCTCGCGATCCATCTCCCTCATTAACGACGCCCCCTCCCTCCCCCTTCCCTCCACCTCGCGGACAAATGCACGAGGCACGTCGCGGCGGATCTGTTCGCCGCCCCTCCCGTGTAAGCTGGCGGTCCGACAATACTCGTCGTCCTCCTTGTCAAAGCGGAGGATGCGAGTGGCAGGGCTGGCGCGGGACCGAAGAAGGCGTGCATCGAATGTACGTGGGGGGGGGGGTGTATGAGAGAGCACCCCTGTGTCTCGAGGCTTGCTACTTTCTGGGCCCACAAGGCGCCATGGCCTTTGTGGGTAGGCAAACCCACTTAGGTACCTGAAAAACACCGTTGTCACACAGACTATTGCATACCGCATGCATGCATGGCAGCATGTGGACGGATTTCATAGGGATCATCCAAAAAGTAAGACCGTCAATCGCCGAACAAACCTGCTAAGTTCAGCCTGGGCAAGCTCTCATGCATAGCGCCTGTAAGTAGGCAAAATCTGGCCCGCAGTGCATTCGTGTGCTGCGGGGTGGCCTACCCAGAGTTCGCAGGCGCTGAGCTCCTGTACTTTACCGAATGGATTTCCTAGTAAAACAGCCGTGGCTCTTTTATCGGAGACTGCAGAAAAATCCTCCCCCTCTGACCAACCGTTTCCCCGTGTAACCTGCCGACTGCTGGCCGCTGCGGCCTGCTGGGGTCGCCCGCTGTGCTCCGCGAGCGGCGCGACCAAGGCGACTGATTGGAGCATGACCTCGCGCACGCCGCTTGGCATGTGCCGTGCTCGGGGCGCGCTGGGGCCGTGCTCGGCCGCGGGGGGCGGGCCGGGGGTGGGGGCTGTCCTTGGTCACCGTGGGAAACGCCGCTGACTTGGCGAACGCCTGCTGTCCCCCTGTCACTTTCCATTTCCAGTTGGAAAATGGTCTCTATTGGACATAGCGCACATGATCATAATCCTTTTCCGTCTTTTCCAGGACATCCAGAGAAGATGGCCGGAAAACGCGAAAGTCTTCCCCTTCGTCGTTGCCCTTTCCTGTGGGCAAGTCAGAAGCCACGCCGCCGGCGGCACCCTGGAGATCGACGGCTTCCTCGTCCATCTAATCCACCTGCTCGAGTCCAGCGGCAAATGCGGTGAACCCGGTGTTATGTCCCAGTTGGACACGGTACGTATGTGTTGTGTTATTCCATAACTCTTACAAAACTTATTTGATCTTATGCTTAAAGTTATTTGCTAACAAATGGTGCGTGTGAGACATCCTACCCTGTATGCTAGGTATACGTTGTGGACACAATGTGGACGACTCTTATTTGTGCGACTATCTTGTTCACTCATTATTCTCAAGAGAATCCCGCAATTTTCTGTTCGAGGCAAACCTTTATCGCGACCAAATATTCGCTCGTTTCTCTCGGCCGTTGGGGCCTAACTCAGGGTGACAAGCTAAACTAGACAGAGCGTGTGACGGCTGTGCGAGTGCGACTTGTCCCCGTTAGGCGGGACACCCGTGGTGGCGGCGCGTCCCGTCCGGCCCCAGGTTATCATAACTGGCCCATAAAATGTTGTATTCACTATCGGGTCAGCCTTGGGGGCCTCGGGCGAGCGGCGCGGCGAGCGCGGGGAGGCGAGGTTGGTTTCTCAAACTAAACAACCGAGAGCAGCCGTGCCCGCGCCTCGCCTGCCTGAATGCAGTTGTGCAGAACCTAGAAAGTAGCGGGGGCTGTTGGGCGCTGTTAAGGCCGCGGGCGCGCCGGTGCGGGGCGGGCGGTGGCCCCCCTGCGGGGCCCTGGGTGCCCGTGCGTGGACACGGCGGGGCAGGTGTGATGTGCGGCGGCCTCCACGGCCAGGAAACGGCTGGCTGGTCGCTGGCGCAGTAACGCCGGACCGAACTTATGAGCCGGGCATACCGGGGTGGAGCGACCCAGGGCCCGGGCCCTCCTAGCCCAGCGGCGAGGCTCCGCTGTCGCACCGCCGCACCCGCGGCGCGAAGATTTAAGTCGCGTTCTGGGGCATAAGCAAAAGCGGCTCGAAGGCATCGCGCCGCGCCGGACCGGCTCCACCACCGTTAAGTGCTGCCGCTACAGCGCCGCGCGCCGTATACCATGCATGTGAGCTCATAAACGTCGGCAAAATTACATCCTCCACATGCGGAGGCAAAATTGACGCGTGTGGACTGTATCGTAGGGAATATGTGCGTGTGTCTGTGTGTGCGCACTTGTGCGTGCTAGTATGTGTTACTTCCACATAGGGTCTCTTTGTGACGGACGATGGTACTTGTCTCACTATATCTAGGACGACATACTTCAACTTTAATTTTGATTCTAATCCGCAAACGCCTTATTTATCCACAGATTACATTACTCAGTACTTTTTTGGGCAGCAATACAGATCATGTTTCGCCTCTTCTGAAAGTTCAGCGTTAAGACATGCTATAACCAGGCCATAAACGTTTTTAATCTCTTTGTCAATACTCTTGCGATAGCTCGCGGTCCATCAGGTCAGCTTTATAAACCATTTTACCTTTACTACTCACTCTGATCCCCCCGCGCCCCTCCCTTGAACATGTCTATAACGGCGCACTAAACTTTCGACGCCGATAATAATCGATCATGCAAACTAAAACGACTAGGTTCGGTCCGAGAAAGAAAATGCTCATTACCTTAGACGGATAGAGGTCGGGAAAAAACTCGAGTCTAGAATGCAAACCGTGTGAGAGGCAGTATGATTAAGTGTGATAGTGCCAGGCGCGTTACGACTGTTCCAAGCAACCCCGCATATTTTTTTTCTTTCTGCATCTCCGCCGGACCGATACATATTTGTTCTTATGACGAACGACCACGCGGTATCGGACCCTCCCAGGGCGCCGCGCTGCTCCTTGACCACCTGGCAGAGCATCATCACGCACGCGGCCGAAAGCGAGGGGTGGGCGACTTGAATTTTTCGTGTACACAGGAGTACGGAGTACACGGAGTACAGTCGGAGAACACTGAGTATTGCCGGTCGGAGCGCGTAGAGTACACCTGGAGTACACCGGAGTACACCCGGAGTACAGTCGGAGTACGCGGAGAACTTGCGACAAAAACAGCCGGAGTACACGGAGTACAGTCGGAGTACAATCGGAGAACACCTGGAGTACATTTTGGCCTGTACACAAGAGCCGCCCAGTCGTCCACCCCTCGGCCGAAAGCTCCTCTCAAAGTTGTCGAAGTGTGATCCGAATCCCCTAGATTTAGCCTAGACGTCTTCTGCAAACCCGACCATGCTTCTCGTTGACCCCCTCATCATCAAATGTGTCACACTGCCCTCTTAGCGTGCGGTATAGTGAAGGTCGCGAGCGGTCCCAAGGGTATGGTCGAGTCGGACCACTTCCGCAACCACCCCTCCCCGCGTCTCGTGAATTTGCGATTGTCAGCTTGAGAGTCGTTTTGCCGTCCAACGTCACGCCTTATTTCGCGGGTGTTGGGCGTCTCGGACGCCGTGCCGCCTTTTCTAACAGTGCCGCGGCTCCACGGAGCGCCGCGGAGCCCGCCAATGCGGAGGCGCCGCGACGCCCCACCCCGGCGGCGCCCCACTCGGCCCCACCCGACCCCACCACGCGCGCGTACGGGCGTGGCTAGGCAAGCCCGCCGGGCAGGTGAGCCGTGCGGCCGGCCTACCCGGCGCCTGGCCGGCCACCGCCTTCCATCCGCCCCGCGCTCGGAAGAGGGCTTTCCGAAGCTTCCGTCTACAGCAGTGTGTCTCCCTTACTCTTACCTGACGCAGATGAGTGAAGAGAGACAGAAGACGCTGGGTAGGGCACTGGCCCGCATGGGCTGAGATACTAATACACATTAACGTTGATATTTGTTTCAGAGATGTATTGGTAGCGGTGCGTGCGGGCGAG